AGGGATCTTGGAGTCCAAAGTTAGCTCTCTACTCCTGGTTCTTGCTGGTAATAAGATCGCTCCCTCTTCTAAGAGGACTCATTGTATACCCAACAGGATGACAATCATAAGAATCCTGCTAACAGTTACTCACAGGTAATCCTACCAGTGTCTTCTCCCTCCCTCCCCCTTTACCCAAACACATGCAAGAATAGGTCTTTTGGATGGGAGAAACCTTAGCTAGAAGAGTTGCATTAAATAATTCATTGACTCTGCAACCATAAATATAAACCCACTTATTTGCAGAAAATAATTTCCCTTCCACTTCCAAGTAACCACTAATAACTACTGATCTTTCTATATGTTTGCCCATTTTTATCTTTCAATATAAAAAAGGTCATATAAGGTTTGTCCTTTTATGATTATTTTACTCAGTATAATGTCTTGAAAGCTTATCTGTGTTGTAGTTATGTATCAGGTGAGACTTCATTTCTCTTAATCACTAAGTAGTATTCCATTGTAGATATGTACCATAATTTGTGGACTCTTTAATCTGTTAATGGGCACTTAGAAATTACCCACTTCTTTTGCTATTGGGAATAGTACTATAGATGTACATAGATGTGCATGTGTCTATTTGTGTCATTACTGTTAGATCCCTGAAATAGATATCTAGCATTGAAATTGTTGGGTCATTTGGCAGTTCTATTTCTGTTTTTTTGAGGAATTGCCTGTTTCTAAAGAGTGGCTGTACCATTTTATATTCCCACTACTGATCTCCCCAGAACGTCACCAACTTTTATTTGTTTGTTTTGCTTCTTTGTTTTGATGATTGCCATTCTAGTAGGGATGAGGTGGCATCTCATTATAATACTTTTTATTTTAACAGTTGTATTAACATATAATTCATTATCATTCAGGTCTGTAGTTTAAACATTAAAGAATTGTGCTATCATCACTACAATTAATTTTAGAAAAATTTTTTTCTTCCTTGTGCTCCTTATTATTAGCACCCAACCCCACCCTGCCCCATCTCCCTTGCCATAACCCCAAGAAACTATGAATCCACTAATTAGATTACCTATCCTGGATTTCATATAGAGAAAAAATATACAAAAAAGACAAAACAACAAGAAAGTAAAACACAAAAACTTCAGTTGAAAAGATAACAGAAAATATAAAAACTAGAAGAAATTTTAAATGGGTCAACAGGGAGCAATCTACCACTGTGTTTTGCTTTTGTAGAAACATTTACATCTTTATGAGGTTACTCAGTTAAGCCATTATCATTTTGCTTATCCTTCCTTTATTGACTTAAAACTGCTATTTTTGTAACTTAATTTTCAGTGTTAGATTTCTTTTTAGGTATATATTAAATGTTGTTGTTCTATGTATCCCTATAACATGACAAGTCATATTAATTTTAAGTATGATATTTATTTTCAGATGCTTTTTTAATTAAAAAATTTTTTCCCAGATGTTTTGACCGATACTATGTTTTGTTTTTGATTTTTTTTAAAAAGATGAATCTTAAAGTATTTTTTATCAAATTAAACAGTTTTCCATTAACTCATGTGCGCGCGCATTACCCCCCCCACACACACACACACACCCACCCACACACACCACCCCCTCCTACAGCACATCCATCAAAACCGGGAAAAAGTAAAAATCTAAAGCCAATTCATAGCAACTCGGTAAGAAAACAAGACAAATTCCCAAACTCACTTTCACTGAGTCAATGCTAACTCATAGCACAACTCAAGGACAGGGTAGGACTGCCCTTGTGGGTTTCAACGTGTAAACTCTTTATGGGAGTGGAAAGTCTTTCTCTCAAGAAACAGCTAGTGATTTTGAACTGCTGACCTTGAAGTTATCAGCCTTACTCATTGGTCCTGACATTGAAATTGCTTTAAAATAAGATTTTTTCCTTGAGAATTCTAAATTTGTACAATTATTAACAATTATTTAATCCTATACTTAGTAATATTTTTCTGTTGAGAAAGCAATTATTTAAATTTTATGTGCTAATGAATTGTTGCTAACAAATGAACTGTATTTGCTTTTTGTATGTTGTTTTCCTCTAACCCTGCTACTCTATTCCTTTTACTTTTTCAGTATAGTCATTTCATCTATTAATATTTATTCCCCTGTCCCACCCAATATATATGTAATTTTCCTTAATTCACTTCTGGTATAAACTTAATAATAATGGAACATTTTTTGTCTTGCATACAACACTTGGAATTTTACTATTAAATATGACATTGTTTTCAGAGAGGTACTATAATACACTTTTAATAAAAGATTCTTTTAGTGTCAGTTTACTAAAAGCCCTTTGTTTTTTATTAGGACCTGAGTGTGCGTTTTCTTCAGATTTCTATATTTTTGACAGAATATTAGGATTTTTGTGTTTTCCTCTGACAGATATAATGAATCTTATTAAATTGCTCATTTTTAAATTGCTAAATTACACTTGATTGTAATAGTCCATAAGATGGCTGTGGATTTACATTTATAAGTTTCATGTATGCTTTTTGAGTCTCTTCAGAAACAGTTGTATAGTTTGTGTGTGAGCTCTTTACTATTTTTGGATTTTAGTAACAGGATTAAGATGGTTTCACAGGATAAATTTATAATTTTAATACTTTCAAATGCCCTGGAACTGTACAAACAATCAAATTAATGTCTGTGAAATACTTATTACAAGATTAGTAAAGTCACTTGGCCCTGGACTCTCTATTATTTTAACAATTCTATTACTTTCCTTGATGAACTTTATTGATCTTATTTAGCTTCTGTGGAGAAATAGTTTGTTTGATATCTAAAAGCTATTAAGATTTTTATTTTTACATAACCCATGTCTATAAACTATGCAATATGGAAGTAAATGGGGCTGTTTTTATATCATGACAAGTGGATTAAATATTCTCCTAGGATTTAGTCATTGACATTCAATTCAGAGCGATAGATGATTGTTATTAAAGTGATCAAGTAGCACCTTTTATGCTGTATTACTATGCCAAAATTTTGCTTTTGAAAATTTGAATGTATAGAAAAATTTCATAAATGAAAATAATTAAGTGTATTCTTCTTCGTAGGTGCATTTTATCTGGTGTTTGAATATATGGACCATGATCTGATGGGACTCCTGGAATCAGGCCTAGTTCATTTTAATGAAAACCACATAAAGTCATTTATGAGACAACTCATGGAAGGTCTGGATTATTGTCATAAGAAGAACTTCTTACATAGAGATATTAAGTGTTCAAATATTCTTCTAAACAATAGGTATGGAAATGAGCTTGATACATTCAAAATGAGTGACAGAGCTTCATTTGTTAAAAGGATTTAGAATTTAACTTTTTGTAGTTTTGAACTAAATTTTAATATACTAACAGTGTTACAACTTAGGCTGCTGACGCAAAACACACCTCCAAATTTGTGTTAAATATAAATTAACTTGCAATGAAAGTTTGTAATAATATAAAATTGTATTTTGCTGACTTTCTTGTTTGTTAGTTTTCTACATGATGTTAATGAATCTTTTTATAACTAGTCATATGGTTTCAGTTTTAGGTTAAGAATAGAGTTTAGAATTTTTTTTTTCAAAACAGACATATTTTTAAAGTGAACTTTTTAAAAAAGATATGTATACACGTGGAAGAAAAGTCTTACACACAAACATGTATCTTTAAAGCGTATGTTAAATATTTCACTAACCCCTTTATGCTGACCTTTTATTGTAATTGGTACTATGTGTGAGTTTAAGTGAGGCCTGCCTTGTCCTGATTATAATTAAGTAAAATATGTTTTTTTGTGTTGGGGGGGTCCTTTCCTTTTTTAAATTATTTTTTTAATCATTTTATTGGGGCTCATACAATTCTTATCATAATCTAGAACATGTTTTTTAAACATCTAGCTTAAGAATTGGAAAGTTAACCATAATTTTAAAACATGATTTAGTTCTTGAGCATCATTGAAATGAGTAAGTAATTTGTCTTACTGCTAAGTATTAGTAAAAAATAACTTTTTGTTGTTTCCTTGTACTATACTCTTCTAAATAGCAGACGAAATACTATTAGTACTATTATAATTGGAGTTATAATAATAAGAGTATTACTATAACAGTAAACCCATAATAGTATTGAATAGTAACTGAAGCTATCCAAAACAAAGTACTCATTTTTTACCTTTTATTTACTATTGCCTGTCTCATGATAGTATTGCAGTATGATCAGAGCTAAAGCTTATAAAGTGATTTTTACTAGTTCGAGGAATAGAACATATGTGTATAATCAGTTCAGAATAGGCTAACACTTTTTGTCTTATTTCCATCAGAGGACAAATAAAACTTGCAGATTTTGGACTTGCTCGACTATATAGCTCAGAAGAAAGGTAAGTGCTTCAAATGATTGTTAAAAGCATGAGAGTCAAGTTTCAGAAGCTGCATACCATATACACTTTTGTATAAGCTGACCCGAATATCAACCGAGGCATCTAATTTTGCCACAAAAATTGCATTAAAAGTGTGCTAGAAGAATTCGGCTTATACATGAGTATATATGGTACTAAGAATATTGTATTCATAATTATGTTTTAAAAGAGGATAATTTACTTTTATGACAAAGCATACAAAATAATGACGCTTTATACCATATTGGGTAAAAATAATTTCTCTTAAAATGTATACTTCAAAATGTGAGTGAAATGAGCTTATGAAATTTTACAAAATTATACGTAAAATTTTGATGAAAGTTCAGACACTAAGATGTCCTTTTTCAAAATTGAAACACTAGCATTTGCATTCTGAATTCTATGTTTAAGCTTAGAAATTTTGGGTTTAATTTTTTTTAAATATCTTTATGTGTTCTAGGTAAAAGTCTACGCAGTACATTAGGTTCCCCTCTAACAATTTAATATAAATTATTTCCTGTTTATTATAATTTTTACAATATACCAGCCTTCTCATTTCATTTGTTTGTTTGCTTGATCTAGCTTTTTCCCCCTTGTTTTCTCATTTTTTCTTTTAGGTTTCTGTTGACAGTGTGGTCTCATAGTTAATTGTTTAAAGAGGGAGCATATTAGTTACGTGTGATATTGCTTATTTTATGAGATAATTTATTATTGGGCTGACATCTAACTTGTAGCAATAGCTTCAGTACCAAGTTCCAAGGTTGTCTCAGGGCGATAGACTTGGGGGCTGCTCTAGGCTGTAGTAGTCCAGTAGGTCTGTTATAATTTTGATTTTGAATATTTTAAACTTTGTTTTATTATTTTTAGACTTCATAGTTTATTACGGTTATACTGCAGCTTTCCTCCCGGAGCTCAACTTCTTTGTGTTTGAATGTTTAAACTATTGTGAGAATGTTCAGTGTATAAAATAGAACAGAACAGAGTTTCTTAGGCCAAAATTGGGATGTGTATCCTATGTGATACTTTTTGTGCCTGGTAGTGAAATGTAACTGGTCTTATTGTAAATTAATGTGGAATTCAAAATCATATTTTTGTGAAGTGGTAGATTTTATGTAACCAAATTATGGGCTTATTTTGGTTTAATCTCTCAAGTCATTTTGGCCCATTTCTTTGCTCAGACAGTACTCATACATCAGCTGCACACACGCATACATATAATGTATAATGTGGATATCTGATAGGGCTTGAGAAAGTTTTGGGGAAAATTCTATTATCTTAGATAATAGAACCTTTTTGATGAACCCTTTTTCATGAACCTTTTTGATCCCTTCATATATACTAACATTCCTGAAGTATGATAATTCTGTAATGATTTTTATTGTACTGTCATTCAATATAGCACAATATATAATGTGATACCATTTCATTGGAATTCTTAAGAGATAAATGCTTGATTTTACTGAGTCAGTGGAATTGGTATATCTGGTTAGTTTAAGAAAATAACTCTTTTTGAAATTTTTTCATTTACAAATAAACTAATTTTTGAATACTTAAGATTAAAAACTTTTTTTTTGTTTTGTCATGCCTGTGGTATCACTCAAAAATTATTGTTTGATATACTAAACTCCGAACTCACTGTCATTGAGTCGATTTTGACTCTTAGCAACTGTATAAGACAGAGTAAACTGCTCATATGGGTGTCCAAGACTGTAAATCTTTATGGTAACAGACAGGCTTATCTTTCTTCCACAGAGTGATTGCTGGTTTCTATCAGCTGACCCCATGGTTAGCAGCCCATTTTGTAACTCACCACACTACCAGAACTCAAATGGTGTGTTTTAGATACATACCCTTTGAAGCTGTTGTATGGCTGGAGTTGTGACCGATCCATGGCGGCATGGTTTGTTAAATGATTGATGGTTCAAAGTCACCAGCTGCTCCATGGAAGAAAGATGAGGGAGTTTGATTCCAAAAAGGCAAGCATCTTCAGAAACCTTATAGATGACTTCTATTTTGTCCTGCAGGGTTCCTATGAATTGGAATCATCTTGACACAGTGGGCATTCTGCTTTTGATTACTGTACCGTATACTTCCATTAAAGGAAGTCTGGTATCCTTTCGGCTAAGTCTGCAAGATCTGCAACTCAACTCCATCAGTGTCTTGGGGGCAGAAAGACAAGGCCATCCGTTCCCATAAGGGTTTTTAGCCTCAGCAATCCTTTATAGGATTACTATGAGTCAGAACGGACTCGTTGACAGTGGGGTACTTCCAATCAATATTTTAAGAAAAAGTTCTCTGTGTCTAGTTTAAAAGTTATTACCTACATTTTGCATTTGAGAAAACCAATACCCCTGAAGGTTCAGTGATTTTTTTTTTTAATAATCATTTTATTAGGGGCTTATACAACTCATCACAATCTGTACATACATCGTTTGTGTCCAGCACATTAGTACATGTGTTGACTTCATCATTCTCACAACACCCACTTTCCACTTGAGCCCTTGGTGTCAGCTCCTCATTTTCCCCCCTCCCTCTCCGCTCCCCCCTTCCTTGATAACTTATAAATTATTATTTTGGTTCAGTGACTTTTAAGAATAAACTATATTTGTTATTATAACTAAGCATATATAGTTAAGCGTTTCTGATTCCCATTTGATTTAATTCGTTCTATCATATTATAGCAATGCCTCCTGGTAGAAATTGAAAAAGAAAGCTGGTTCAAATGTATATGCTCAATCCCAAACTTACTTAAAGCCTACTTTTTGAATAACCAAGTTTTCTGTGTGACTAAAGTTGCTGTTATTCTGAGTGAAATTCTGACTAATTATTTTGCCGCCTTCCTGGTTAATTGAACCCCTCACTCAATTAAGTTAGATTATTCTTAATAAAGTTAGATCACTCTTAATACAAGTACCCTATGTGTATCATGATGGAACATAAATCTCTATCTTCTTGTTAGGTTTCACTCGAGATAAAAAGTTAACAGTTATCTTTCTTTTATCTCATAGATTCTTTTATGAGAGTATTCATATTTTAAATCAATATATTCCAGAAAAACTGTCAAGCAAAATTTTGTATATCGAATTTTCTTTGCCAGTTGATTCTGTTTTGAAATGCAATGCTGGGTTCTAATGTAGTGCCAGAGGTGTGAAGTGTTCACTTTGCTCTGGTCCCTGTTGCCCTACCTGATTGACAGAGGATTTTGAGCTAAGAGAGGCAGAAAGTTGAAAATCTTATAACTTAGTGTTTTCAGGTAATGTATATTGAGTTATTCTGCTTAATCACATTTATAAGATAAAAACATGGTGTATCATTTTTTTATGAGCAGTTCATTTAAAAGGCGTTCATTTACTTTTTTTGAAAAATTGTCAGACTAGATTAATTTTAATTTATTTTAAGTGTTGTGTAAATTGTCTTCATTTAAATGAAATGCCTTTATTTTTTCTCTAAGTATTAATAACTTCACAATTTTAAAATAAACCTGCGTTTAGCCAATTTACTGTTGCCCCAAATTTTTCAAAGTTTTTTTGATAAAACTATATAGAAATGATTTTTAATTTATAGTCCTATTTCATTATTATAAGCAGAAGGAAAAAGAGGGCTTTGCCGTAATACACCCATCCAAATGTTAAAGCAATTTTAGGTATTTTTAAAGAACTTTGTTATTACAGATTTCTTAAGAAGTGTCCAAAAGATTGCATTTTAAAATGGAGTAGATTTAAGGTTATTGCTGTAGTAATATTGTGTCTCTTTTGGTTTTGAATAGTCTTTTCTTAATTTGAGGAAAATTGTGAGGGTGATGCTAACCCCAAACCAAATGCTCTCCCATTGAGTAGATGCTGACTCAGAGCAACCTATAGAACTGCTGGGTAGAATTGCCCTGTGGGTTTCCAAGACTAACTCTCTCCCTCCTTATTGGCTTATAACTCACACAGCATACAATTCATTAGTTCATTCACATCCAGAAGAATTGTACGATCACCACCACAGTTTGAACATTTTCTTCATTCTTGTATTGATAATTATTAGTTCCCCATTTCCTCCTAAGGACTATCACCCTTTAAGGGAGTAGAAAGTTTATTGGTCTTTCTCCTTTGGAGAGGCTAGTGATTTTGAACTGCTGACCATGCGGTTAATAGCCAAGTTGTACTTGGGAATGTGTGACCAATATGGAAACATGGATCTCATCTGTCATGTGTGCTACACAGTAGAAGACAAAAGGAGAAACATGTATTAAGATGAGAGGAGGGTGATCCTTTAAATTTGAATAATTCTTTACTTATTTAATGTAACAATGTTTTTATAAGCATTAGAAACTAGGAAATATGAACATGTTTTTTGCCCTGGTCATCTTTACCTATTTTATGTCATCTTTTCCTAAGACTTTGAGCCACGTGACATTTCTGAGTTTTTGTTTTAGCAAGTCACGATTTCATTGTTTTCCCTAAAAGATAAAAGGATCATTTTCTCGTGTGAATATCCCATATTTTTGTTTTAAAAAATACTTTTCACATAAGTTCCAAATAAAAGCATTTTCTACACACAAAACTAACTTGGCATATATATATTTTTAAATGAAAGGACATGAAATCCATGAGCCAGGGAACTTTGGCCTTAGTTCTAACATTGTCATTTGCCATCTAACCAACTGTGCAATCTTGACAGATCAGTTAATTAGTCTCAGTTTTAACATAGGGATTTAGGATAAATAAATATTGATTAAAATGGATAAATAGATAACTTTGTAATGTTGAAAAACAGATTTCTTAAAAATTCTCAAGTTTACTGCACTGAAGCAGTAATAACACAATTTTTAAAGCATCTACCAAAAATTCACTTCCTTTCATTAGGATCCATTGAGAAGGAGCTAGAAGGGAAAAATTGAGTCTTGGAGTGTTAACAATGAAGAACGAGACCCAGGGCCACTAATATCTTTCTCCAAAAACACTCACCTTTTGCAGAGGCAATGCCACCATCTAGTG